GGATGTGAAAAATGTTTTTCTTAATGGTGACCTAGAAGAAGAATTTTATATGAAACCATCTCGTAGACTCAATCATCCTCTAAACAAGGTTTGTTGATTGATACATGCATTATACAGTTTGAAGCAATCCTCTCAAGCTTAATATCTAAAGTTCAATGCTATTATGAGTGAGTTTGGTTTTACTTCTAGTCCACATAATATAGTTTTGTTCATTCGTAAGACTACTCGGGGTATGTTTCTTTTACTTCTTTATGTTAATGACATGATTATTACTAGAGATGATTTCGCAGGTGCTGATAAGTTAAAATAATTTCTCAGTAAAAAATTTGAGATGAAAGATCTTGGTATTCTAAGTTATTTTTTGAGGCTTGAAGTCACATTTTCAAATGATGGCTACCTTATTTCTCAAGTAAAATATGCCTCTAATCTTATTTCTAAAGTTGAACTCAATAATAGTAAGAGTGTTTCTACACCTCTTATACTTAATGTTAAGCTTACACCTATGGATGGCTCACCATTTTCTAATCTTACTCACTATCAGTAATTGGTTGATACTTGATAGTCTGGTTTATCTTACCATGACATGCCTTGACATAACATATGCAATTTATATTGTTACTTAGTTTATGGCTACTTCTTACTCCATTCATTATGCAATAGTACTTCACATTATTTATTATGTTAATGGAATATTGTTTCATGGACTCCATTTTTGTGTTAATTCCTCCCTTGTGCTTCATGCTTACTCTGATGCTAATTGAGCTAATGATTCTTTTGATCGTAGATCTACCACTAATTACTGTCTTTTCCTTGGTAATTCTTTTATTTCTTAGCGAAGCATAAAACAAACTATTTCATCTCGCTTTAGAATTGAAGCTAAGTATAGAGCTCTCGGTGATATCACATTAGAACTTCTTTCATTACGGTAGCTTTTTGAAGATATAGGTATTCCTCAACCTTCTTTTACTGATTTATATTGTGATAATCAAAGTGCTAAATAAATTGCTCATAATCATGTCTTCCATAAATGCATAAAACATATCGAAGTCGATTGTCACTTTATTCGTCATCATTTTGGAAGGAGAATTGTTCGCTTGATTTTCATTAGTTCTGCTGATCAGCCTGCAGATTTATTCACTAAGGCTCACTTCCCCCATATGCTTCTAAACTCTTCTTACCAAACTCAAGTTGGTTTTTTTACCACTACCTTGAATTTGCAAGAGATGTTAAAATATTAGTATTTATTTTAAAATATTAGTATTTATATTAGAATATTATGTTTATATTATATTTGATTATATACATTTAAGTTAATTGATTTTATACATGAAAATATTTTATTGTATAGATTTATATATGAAATCTTTATATATATAATGAAGGCAAAAAAAAAAAAAAAACCCCTTTTCTTCCAATATTTCTTTTTCTTTTTTGTTTCTAACAAATATTGGTCGGCCAAAAAATTGTGCAACATAAGTTTGAGATCCAAACGCTATTGAATTATCAATCAATATAAACAGACAGACACACAGAAAGGTACTGTGTCCCTTTCCTTTACACAATAATGGGCTGGCTATGGTTGACCGTCAAGGAGGGTTATGGCTACAATCTAAAATGTTAACATTATTAAAAATTATAAAATATATTTTAAAAATATTAATTTAATTTAATTAATAAAATAATTATAATTATTTATTATTAATCAATAAAATAATGAATATTTATTAAATAATTAATTAAAATTAGTTAATAAATTAATATTTTTCAACATTTTTTAAAAGAAATTAAAAAATTATTGACATTAATATTTTTTATGGTGATAATAATCATATGTTTGACTATCCCTTCTGTAGCTTTCCTTAATTACTAATTTGAGTCTTATTTTGTAATCTACACTATAAACAATGAAACAGACATCAATATTGAGAGACTTGTATCTATTTAATAATAAATGTTATGTAATTTAATATATAGGATTTCATGCAACTTCAAATTAATCAGTTTTAAAGTTATTGTGTGTTTTGTCTCTATAATTTTATATTGTTAAAAAAATATAATTTAAATTATACAATACTTCTTTTTCTCTAGATATTTTATTGTAATTAAAGATAAGCCTTTCTTTGAATGTTAGCGGTTAACTTATGCTATGCAGAGGAGGTGTTTTCCTACACAATCTAATTAATGCATTTAATATATGAAACTTTATTTTATAGTTTAAACTAGTTGAAATTGTAAAATATTAATTATTAAATAAAAAAATCTTAATATTAAGAGCTTAATTCTTATATAATAATTAATATTATGTAATTTAATATAATGTAAATTACACAATATTTTTTTTAATATATTGCTCTAAAATTAAACAGTAATTAAAAATAGATATTTGTTTTAGTCATTCGGTTGTATTCATGGGCTGTTCGGTGCCGAAGAAACATTATCCGTGATGGTGTGACGGTGTTATACTGTTATTAACTTACTTGACATGACTCTAATTTTACATTTTTTTTTTGGGTAGAAGACAGAACTCTGATTTTGAAAATCTTAGAAAAGAGATTTGATACCAAAATCAAAGTTCAATTTTGGAAGTTGCGATGGTAGCTAATTAATTATCTAGTCCCTATAAAGACGTTGCGGTTGGTGAATGAAAATTTGTAAATGCACATTCTTTGATAGGATCCTAGTTACAATTATGTATATGTAAACAAAAATTTGTTTGCAGATACACTAAAAAACAATTTTTTTTTCTTATAAAACAAATTTTTTTTGCAGGTATGCTAAAGAGACACTTTTCCCTTTATTAAATCTGTACTGCATATACATGCCTCGTGGAAGAAGAATTTACTTCCCCCTTCTTTTCTACAATCAAGAATGTATTAGTCTAGTTAAATTAAGTTTTCGAATCTAATAATTTATTATTAAATTTTAAGTGTTTAATATTAGTTGTTCGGAGTTCAATTTCTACTAATAACTTGAAAATCTTTTAATTTTCCAATAGTTTTTTATGTTCAAAAAAAAAAAAAGAAAGAATACACTACTCTAATTGGATGGAGATTCCATATTAATCTTATGAATAATTTAGAAATTCATGTTTGATCTCATTTACAACGGGACTTTAACTTCAAACCTTAATTTAAGTCTACAAAACGTTTTAATTTTTTTACATTTTCATGGCTACGTTGAGAACAACGTGTTGTTCTGTTCAAAATCAATTTCCAAAACCAGCATTTTTTTAATTGGTTCTTACAAACCATTGCCCTGACTCAATATTAAATAAAATTTAATAAGCTTTCAATCATTCCTATTCTAGAGGCTATTATCATCTTATATACAAATAGAAATCATAAAATATAACAGAATATGAGCAACTAAAAAAGAACTTTACCAAGTGGTTTATTGACCACGCGTCTTATTAAGATGGGTGGGTTGTTCACCAAATTTGAAAATTAAATCTTCAATTGTTAATATCTAACAATATTAATTTACTAATCATTGTTTTTATCAAAAAAAAAGAAACAGAAAAAAAAAAACACTAGCCAACGCCGCCGCCGCCGCCTCCCCTCCCTCCTCTCTCGGTTCATCTTTTATGGCCTTCATATATGTCAATGAAGCACGTACAAACTAGCTTCTGTTTGTGTCTCCCACATAGGAAATATTATTTGGCAAATAACTGTATAGGGGGGGTAAGAAGATGCCACTGAACATTTGTTATATGATGCAGGTTATCAGGGACGGAGCCAATCAAGGACAAGGGTGGGCAGCCGCCCCCCTAAGTTTTTGAAAAATATTTAATATGGTACTCTAATTCTTATTTGTTAAAAATTTTGTTTTTATAGGATGATTTGAAGAATTATTTCAAATGTAAAGAAAATATTTAGTATTTAAATAATATTTTTTTAAATAAGGATATAATTCAAGTAAAATGAATTTATATTAATTAATTAATTAAGAATTAGGACTCTTAAACACTTTTTCATCTATTAAATTAAAAAAAAAAACTTTAATTATTTATTTAAACAACCTTACATTTACAGTTTTTTTAATATTCATTTATTTTCTTTCTTAATATTTTATGTAATAATTTAAAATTTTTTCTTTTGGTATCGAGGTATATTTTTATCTTTCATGATTAAATTTTTATTTTTATTTTTGTTAAATCAATTTAAGTTAGAGTTCATTTTCTAAAAGAAATATTTTAGTACTTTTTTTATAATATTAGTGTTTATCAATATGATTCTAGAAAATTAAGAGAAAAACACTTTAAAACTACATTGTTTAAATAAAATCAAAACACTCTCATTGCTACTTTAAAAATATATATTTTTTTTTTCAATGCAAGTTTATTAAAAACAGTTAAATTTTGTAGTGTTTTTCTTCATAATTTGTTAAAGATTCGGTTAACAAACACATTTTTCTTTTTTTCAATCATTCTTCAATGATCATTGCATAATTAGTTTATTACTATAATATTTCAATTTTTATTATAATTGAAAAAATACATTTATTTCTAATTTTTACTAAGAATATATCAATAAAAAAATTATAAGTAAATCTTTTTATAAAGGAGAAAATTTAAAGAAAATAATTTAATATCGTAAGAAATACTCTTAAAGAGTCAAATCTTTCACCAATAGATTTTGCCTCCTTAATTGAATTTCC